ACTAAAATCATATTTACTAGAACCCTTAGGATGATAGGGAGACTAAAATCATATTTACTAGAACCCTTAGGATGATAGGGAGAGCAACAGTTTGGGCTGAATATTTATTGAGCACCTCTTATGTGCCAAGCACTGTTCTAAGAGCTGGGGAGAGATGGATCCATGAAGGAGATAGTTCAAAATCCTTGCCCTTGTAAAGCTTACATTCTATTGTGGGGAGATTAATAATAAAAAAATACATCTATAGCTTGTCAGGTAGTGATAGTATGGCTAAAATAAATCAAGAAAAGGGCAAGTAGGAGTGCCAGAGAATAGGGATGGGAATATCATTTCAAACAGGGTGGTCAGGAAAGATCTTAACAAGATGACATCTGAGTAAAGATGTGAAGGCAGTGGAGAGTGTGAGCATGTAGGGAACTTGGGGGGAAAGGATTCCAGGCAGAGAGAATGGCAAGTGTACAAAAGCCCTGAGGTCGAAGTGAATCCTGGTGAGAAGACCACTGTGGCTAGAGCCAAGTGAAGGGGGGGAAAAGTAGTAACATCTGAGATTAGTTTTGAGTAGGAAAATGACTTGCTATGTTCAAAGGCTCACCATGGCTGCTGTGTTGTGAATTGGTTGAAAGAAAGGAGGTGAGTTCTAAAGACATTTCAACAATCCAGGTAAGAGATAATAGTGGCTCAGACCATGACGGTAGTAGCCGAGATGGTGAAAAAAAGGCTGGATTCTGTGCATGTGTGTGTTTAAGATTTTATTTTACATAATTTCTACACCCAACGTGAGGCTCGAACTCACAACCTGGAGATCAAGAGTCACGTGCTTTACTGACTGAGCTGGCCAGGTGCCCCTGGATGTATTTTTAAGACAGAATCAACAGTATTTGGTGACAGATTGGATTGAGTATAAGAGAAAAAGAGGCATCAAAGATGACTACATGGTGCAAGTCCCAAGCAACTGGAAGAATGAAGTTGTCATTAACTGAAATGACCAAAACAGCAGGTTGAACAGGTTTGGGAGGGGAAAAGATGAAGTGGTAAGTTTCAGGCATTCCAAGTTTTGAGATACCTATTAAAATCCAAGTGGAGATGCCAATTAGGTAGTTGGATATACAAATATGAAGTGCAGGAGAAAAGTCTTGGGTGGAGTGTATAAGAGTTGTCAGCATTTGATATTATTTAAAGCCATGAAACGCTATGAGAATAAGTGTAGACAGAAAAGAGGCCCAAGGACTAAATCCTGGGCAGTCCAATGAGTTGAGTTTGGAGACATGACAGGGAGCCAGCAAAGGAGCCTGAGAAGTGGCCAGTGAGTTAGAGAAAAACCAGAAGCTTATCCTAAAATTTGAGTTTCTAGCTGAGGAGGAAGTAACCAACTGAGTCAAATGCTGCCTATTCTTCAAGTAATATGGGAGGACTGAGAGTTGGCTATTGGATTTAGCAACATGGAGGTCACCAATGACCTTGATAAGAGAAACTGGTGGTGCGATAGACATAGGAGGCCCACTGGAGTGGGTTCAAAAGAGAACGGAAAGAGAGGAGAGGAGTTTTTTTTGGAGAGTTTTACTATAAAGGAGAGCAGAAAAATGAAGCAGTAGCTGGAGGAAAATGGAAGTCAAGGGAAAAAATTTAATGGGAAAAATTATAGTATGTCTGTACATTGATGGGAATGTTCTCGTTGGGAGTGGGTGAGGGGAGGTGGGGATTGACAATGCAAGAGAGAGAGGGGAGAATTGCTGGAAGGTGTCCTTGAGTAAATGAAAAGGGTTGGGAGCATGTACACAGATGGAGGAGTTGGTCTTAGATATAGCCTGGGCCCCTCAGTCCTTGGCACAGAAAGGAAGACAGAACAGATGAGATTGGATTTGTTTTCTTGGTGAAACAGGAAGCAGGTTGATCAGCCGAGAAGGAGAATGGGGGGAGAGTATTAAAGGTTTGGAGAGAGAGGAAAAGGTATAAACAGTTGCCTAAGATGGTGGATGGTCTTGAGGATTGCCAGCAGGCAGTGGGGGCCCAATGAGGTCATGAATGGATAGTGAGCCTGGGCAGCATGATTGAGTGTTTTTCCTAGTGAACTGCAGCTGCAGAGGTATGGGCAGAGGAGTAAGGAAGCTGGAATTGTCAGAACTGGGACTTTGCCAGGCAAGTACCGTGAAGAGAGAGAGAGGCAAGGGAATCAAGAATCTATGTAAGAGAGTGATTACAATGATGGACCATGGAACGCAGTGTGAGAAAGTCACGGACATGAGAGAATGTGAGGAGAGAGAAAAGGGGGTTGGATTTGGAGACTGTGTGTCCCAGTGTGGTTGAAGAGTTCCTTGTTTGGGGTGGCAGAAAGAGAAAGAGCTGGAAAGGCAGAATTTAATGATTGAGAAGTGGGATGCTGGAATTTGAGATTAAAATGTTTCAGGCATTGATGAAGACAAAGTCTAAAGGTGTATTATGGGCTGAATTGTGTCCCTCAAAATTCATTATGTTGAAGCACTAATCCTTATAACCTCAGAATGTGACTATATTTAAAGTGGTAATTAAGTAAAAACGGGGCTGGTAGGGTGGGCCTTAATCCAATGTGACTGGTGTCCTTATAAGAAGAGGAAATTTGAACACACAAAGAGATACCAAGTGCACCTGGTGTACAGAGAAAAGACTGAGTGAGGACACAACAAGAAGGCAGCTATCTGTAAGCCAAGGAGAGAGGTCTCAAGAGAAACCAAACCTGCTGACATCTTGATCTTGGATCTCAAGCTTCCATTACTCTGAGAAAATAAATTTCTGTTGTTTAATCCCCCTAGTCTGTACTATTTTGCTATAGTAGTCCCTGCAGACTAACACGCTGTGGCCATGAAAGCGAGAGGCGAGGTAGGATGGGAAACAAGAGGATTGGAAAAAGGAATTGAG